TCGATGAGGTTTAGAGGTGCCAGTCGGCAGATGTTCTCTCAGCAACAAAACATATTCCCTACACCCTGTGATCTTAATGAAGATTGGTATTAAAGGCAGTAGTACACGAGGTTCTGCACTTGAAGAATATTATTATTTATGTATATATGGACGCCATTTGATTTCCAGTGCCAAATGTGTGGGATCAAAGCTTTATTAAAGCAGGATTTGCACTTTGAATTAGTGTTTTGCTGCTGAGCAGGTAAATGAAATGCAGTTTGAGCAGATCAAATGCTGATTTCCACCAAAGCCTCCATTATTCTTATCATTAACATGTGTAGAGCAACGTTGTCACAGTGAAACGACCAGAAAGAAGAAAATAGAACGCATATGGGACGATTTGGCCTGCACACATCTCTTAGCCTGTTAGCATATTGGGTAGTTTGAAGGTGATTTATGAAGGTGCAAATATTTAAGGATCATTTCTGCCTTTAAAAAAAAAATCATGTGTTTTTGATGTTGTTCTTGTTGTTGTTGTAAAATAAATATGAAAACAGCTTCTGAGAATGAGCCCATCCGTCATGATTCTGACTCCTGGTGTAGTATTTTGTGTGTTAAAATGACCGATATGAGTCACAGTAGCATTAGGATTATGAAGTATCATGTGTGTAATGTAACGGTATTTGAGATTTAGTGGTGACCAGAGTACCGTGTGAAACATTCTGGATAGAAACACTACATTTCAGTCGCTCAGCCTTACAGCAGTGGGATATTAAACAGCATTCCTGAACAGTGACAGGGCAGTGATACTCTCTGTATGATGCCTCATCTACTCCATGATTGCACATGTATTTTTACAAATCAGCTTTTGGACCAAAATATATTTTACCAAGAATTTCTGGAAAGTGTTCGACTCATCATTCTTGTGTAACTCTGTGTGCGTGCGTGTTGGTGTGTGGGTGTGGGTGGGGGGAGGGGGTGTTGGTGGGTGAGGGGAGAGCTGTATGCTCACTATCTCAACTTCTAAATGTATAAAAATGTGATAAAATGAGGGGGAAAAAAGATTTGAGGTTGCCACAGCAGATCATCTGCCCCCATGTCACCCCATCTCTAGCATCCTCTTCAGTCACACCAACACTCTGCATACCATCCTTCACTACATCCATGAATCTTCTCTGTGAGCTTCCTATTTTCCTCCTGCCTGGCAGCTCCATCGTCAACATCCTTGGACCAGTGTATCCACTATCTCTCCTACATATGTCCAAATTATCTTCAGCTTGGCTCCTAACTTCGTCTCCAAGCTGCTCAACCTGAGCTGGCCTTCTAATCTTGCCCGCCCTCTTTACTCCCAGTAAAGATCTTAACACTTGAGATGGAGTGAGTACAGCTGGTTTTATTCTCCTGCCTTCTATCTCTAATTCTTTAAGTGGCTAGCCAATATAGTAATGGATTGCTATATAGCGCTTTTCGAGACCTTTAATTCCACTATTCATTCGCTCTCACATTCACACACTACTGGAGTCAAGCTACAGTTGTAGCCACAGCTGCCTTGGGGCAGACTGACAGAGGTGGGGCTGCTATATCGCACCGTCGGCCCCTCTGGCCATCACCAGTAGGCGGTAGGTGAAGGACACAATGACCAAGACAGACAGAGCTGGGGATCGAACCTGCAACCTTCCGGGTACAAGATGAGCTGTGATACCTTGCTTGGCTGTTTCCAAGGCCTTAGGTATGGGCAGCTTGCTGTACTTTTTAGGCACCCCTTTCTTCATTGCACCTTTCTGCAGCTCTGATAATTGGCTGACTTCCCTCCGTGCTACCGTGATCCTGGCTCCTTCTCCATGGAGGGAACTGCTGGCTGTTCATCTTGTAGCCAAGCATCTCTGTGACCACTGCTACCATGGTGTAGATCAGCTAGTTAGTTCCCATGATGGTCTCTGTAGGGATTGTCCGTAACGCTGCATTCACATCATCTAGTAGACCTTCAGAGGGTAGTCTTGGTACCTGGCGACGGAGGGTCCAGGTTTCCAGCTTCTCAATGATCCCATCTTTCAGGTCACACTCGACGCTCCTTCTGTCAAACTTTGACGTCATGGCTCACTTTTGCTGTAGCATGTGTGTTGTATATATCATCAATCTTCAGTTGTGGTAGCAGTTCTTTTTTTCCAGAATGTTGGAACGCTGGGCCACTAATTGTTTGGATGTTGGATATTGAAGATTCCATAGGTCCCACATCCTCTTCAAGATGTTCCAAAGGTGTATAATGTTACCACGATGTTATCCAGAACGATAGAGGGAGATAGATATAGATATACATAAAGCCCATTTTTCAGGCTCATTGTTGGTGTTTTGGTAACTACCATGTAGGCAGCTGAAACCAGAAGTGTATAAAATTCTAGTATTTCGCTCACTAAAGCAAAATAATGGGGAAAAACACTGAAAAAGCCCCATCAGCTGAAGTGATCGTCTGTGTTTGGACACCTGTTAATCTTACAATACTCAGTCAGTAACCATCCTAAGAAAAATGAGGTTGCATATGGGCTATACAGTCAAACGTTTGCAGACATAAAGTGATTAAATCTGCAAGTGAAAATGTCTTGAATTAGAGTTGCAAGCAGTGCGAGTAAATGGTTACCCTGGAGGTAGTTTGTTAGTGGGTAAGTAGTATTTTGCAGGTCAGAATAATCAGATAAAGCATAGGTGTTGACATTAGAGCTGTTCTTAGATAATGTGATGAAGGTCAGGGGCTGCTTTTTGTCTCACTGTTTCCAAAAGATGTGTTTCTGCTGACTGGTTCCTTCCTGTTTCATCAGCAGAGATCAAATCTGCTGACTGGTTCCTCCTTGTTTCACCAGAAAACCAAAGGGGGGCCCAGTCAACAGGATGGGCACAGAAAGACAGAAAGAGGGAGCAGTTGAAGGGTCAGTAAGCAACAAAGTGCTGACCACCCCCAGAGACAGTAGGAACGTTGAGTCCAGAGAACAGATCCCATTAATCAGTGTGAGTCGTGGCCAACACAAACGTTCCTGCATTCTCTCCGTATATTGCTGATCTTGGTTTAGCCCCAACTGTGAGGCCAAGGCTTATCCGGGCTCACTCATCAGGAGCCGTGCACTGTCCTCCACCATCCCTCAAGACCAATCTTAACTTTCTTTTGTCCCAGTACTTCAGTCATTAAATCACCTGATGCATAACCGCAGAGATGAAGCCAAGCTCGCTTTTAAGAGTGTTAAAATGTTGTGATGATGAGGATGTGTGCTTCTCTAGATTAAAGAGCCTCCTTCCTCAGTGAGGCTGGGGCGGCCCAGGGCTCCCACCTCGCACTACACTCGGCAAATCGCAGCACAGAGTACGGCTTCCTGGCATTGTTCTCTGCTATGTGGGGCCTCTTTATACTATTTCTGCATTCTTCTTACTGGCATCGTACTTACAGGATCATGTGAGATAACTAACAAATGCATCCTCCCCCTCCATCACTCAGTCAGTGCAAACCTTTTAACCGCTTAAGCCAAGGCTGTTGAACAGGATTTTGCCTCGACTTTGTTGTATTTTTTGTTTATCGCTGGAAGGCCAGTTCAGCAGTCTTCTACTACAAACGTATGCTCTACATCTAGTCTAGCATTGTCTTGCTGAAATACACAAGGCCTTCAGTCAATCTGTGTGTCCCTGCCTCCACTCTGTCTTCACCACAGCCATTTCCATGGTTTTCACGAAACCATTTCTCTCCTTAACATCAGACCTAACCAACACCACCGCCGTTCCCTTCATGTACATGTACATTGAAGTGTGCTCTCTTACATCTGGACACTCACTTCATCCAACTTCCTCCAGAATTTCTCTTTCACTTCTGACATCCAACCTGTGGGGCATAGGGACTGACAACATTTAACGTAACCCTTCAGTTTCTAGCTTTAAACTCATTCTTGTCTGACACCCTCTTCATCTCCACAACACTATTCCCATGCCATTCCTTCAAGGTTAGGGTTATTCCATTTCTCTGTCTACACCACTGGTGTTAAACTCCAGTCCTCAAGGGCCGGTGTCCTGAAACTTTTCCATGTGTCCCTGCT